TCTTGATGGCGTTTTTAAGGAATTTAAAAGAATCTTAGACGTGCTACTGTTTAGAATTATCTTACATTTTTTGAAAGAATTTAAAAGAATGTTTGGCCCTCTTCGTGTCCTTTTTAAAATTCAGAAAAAAAATCTTTAGAGCTTGTTAGGTTTAATTTTTAAACCAACGTGAAAGAATCTTGAGTTTTATAGTGTCTTTAAAAATGGAATTGAAAAGAATCTTGGAATTGCCTTAGTTTCTTTTGTTAAGATTTTGAAAGAATCGGGGAGCTGTCAAAGATATTTAAAATCTTGAGAGCCCCTGATGTTTGATTTTTGATAGAATTTAAAAGATTCATTGGGGTCCCTGATGTTTAATTCTAGAACGAATTTGAAATAATATTTGGGGTTGTTGATGTCTTTTTTTAAGGAATTTAAAGAGTCTTGGGTTCTCCTAGTGTGTCCTGTTTGGAATTTGAGAGACTTGAGAGTCTGTGGTCTTTAATTTTGAACCATTTGAAAGAAAGTTGGGGCTGGTATCTTTAAAAAAGAAATTTAAAAGACTCTTGGATCTTCTTGGTGTCTTTTATTTTTAGAATTTAAGATAATCTTGGGAGCCCTTGATGTTTGATGATGGATAAGAGAATCATCTCCAAGGATTCTGTTTTAATTTTTCATGGTGTTGGTGTTTGAATTTCAAAAAAAAAAAGGTAAAAGAGCAATAAAACACGTAGTACCTAAGTTTTCATTAGAAAATTAATAATAAGTTTAATTTAACTTGATTTGTTGAATGAAATTTAAAACAACGCACTGAAATGTCTTAATTTTATTTGAAGTTTATCAAGTGAACTACTTTATAAATAATAATTTTTATTTTTATATTTTTAATGTTCTCAGGGGACTGCTTTTTATTTAATTACACACATAATTATCTGAACAGAAGAGTTATCAATGTCAACAATTAAAACACGAATTGATAGTAACACAGGAAATGGGAAAAACTTGTATCTTGCAACTATTTACATACTTATTAACGATAACGCAGGTTTAATTGCGTATTATACATGTATCTATTACGGGCACTTTTTTCTATTTAAAGCTACAAACACGAACAACTAAGACTGTTTTTCTGCTTCTTAACAACACAATATTTGATACAGCTCGCTGCGCTCGCGCTTTTATTTACTTGTTACTGCCAAAAAAATTGCAACCTGACCTTGTTGCCTCTTTCCAAAACATTCTCAACCACAACATGTCACATCGAAAATAATTAAATATCTCTTTCATTTTTTCCTTGTGCTCGCGTGATCCCAACCAAACTAAAAAAAACCCGATTAATTATCTCTGTTATTTCTATTTCAAACGTCAAAACACCGAGTTAATTTCACGCGATGTTACCGTCCGAACTCACATTTGGGTTTCCGGAGCAAATTCGCCGCCCGCGATCCAATTCCCAACCTCTCCATCTCCATCTCCGCCCGCTGGAAGAGCAAGAATGTGTACAAATCCGTCTAGAAAAATATATGAGGTCATTTCTCTTTGCTCTCGGCATTTTTGAGATAAAACCCAGACAGACTAACACACCGAATCCCGGATTAACAATTAAACGAGAAAAGTCGGCTCGGAAAAACGCATACATAACGAAAATGAAGACGTGTCGGCTAATCTCGATCCGTGGACGCACCTAGCGCCGGATTCGTTCTATTTCGGGTTTGTCTCTTCGAGCCGTCGACCCTGGAGGATACCGCGTTTCGCGCTTTTAAATCGAGAGGCGGCTAATTGACTGCCCACAAACCAATCAAGAGCAATTGATAAAGTAGTTGTGGAGTTGGATAAAGGTCCATTACTATAATTGCCTTGACACCGAATCCGTTGAACCTTGCACAAGAGCGCGCATGTTGGCGACATGGCCGAGATGCGGGCGGCCGGGGGCGACCCGTCATAATTATATTAATTTAATTAAATTAATTAGTGGGGAAGGGCGAAGGGTCGCCGTGTCTTGCCTGCTGGCAGTTATTAAACGAGAACAGTCACGACTGGAAGGCGATTTTGCGTAGGATCTAAATAGTTTTCAGAAGACATAGGGGCTCTGCGAGGGGTAGCAATGGGACCACTGGGCTAGTACACCAGTGGGGGTGTCCCTCAAACTATTTCCAGTAGAAATTCTCCCAAAAGTGCGGTCGCGGTACAAAAAAAAACGGGATTAAAAGTTTTGCGTTTTGCACCTAGGACCTAAATAGTTTTCCGAAGACATAGGTGCTCTGCGAAGCGTATTAACGAGACCACTGGGCTAGTACACCGGTGGAGGTGCCCCTTAAGCTATTCCTAGTAAAACTTAAGGTGCGCCGGTCGGGCGAACTAAGGGTGTGCACAATTTTTAGAAATTTCATGAAACGCGATGGCGCTTGACCTTTACATAAAAAATAATTAATTCGTGCGGAGGGTAGGACTCCGAGCGAAATGTGTCAGACGGCGAGACGAGGCACCCCTGTGACGAATACAGTGACTCATCGTGAGCGAGGGTGTGAAGGCACGGGGATGAGATTTGTACAGATGGTAGATAAACACGGTACAACGTCACGGGACTCGTGCCCTCGCGAACCTTGATATTCTGGCAAATTGATTTTCTCCTTGACTGGACCGTCACGTCCTTTCGCTGTCTCCGACCGGGCAAAAACTGGCTTTAGAAACAACAACAAAAGTAATTAGAAGTTGCGGTTGCGAAAACTTCCGCGTTTCGACCCCTTTTTTGTCGTGTTCCATCCATCAGGAGGGGTCGCAATAAACCGAATTCCCGCATTGTTAATATCCGCCGCATGACGCGTTGTCCATCCGCAACCCATGAATGAATAATGAGGCGTTGATTGAAAAATTCATTCCAACTGTCCGGAAGGGGATCTACTCCGTTCGGAATTCTTATCGTTTGCCTCGCGGGGAAGTTGCGATTTCCGCACGCGGTCCGGCGTCCAGCGCCGCCTTTCCACTCGATATCCCCATGTAATTGCCACGTCATCTCGTGAACACCTTTTCATGGCATTAGGGCAACGTACCATGACGACAATAATCGCGTTAAATCCATGGCCGTTGTTGCAACTGAACTCGATTTAATGGTTCAAAGAGTTCGTGGCGTACAGTCGGTCCAAGCGAATCGCATTGCGACCTCGTGGCACGGATGGCAAAAACCTGAAATTAGACGCTCTTGTAGAAATAAATAGTTCGTCGCAATTGTCTCGGGTGAGATAAGCCTCGGATTATGCAAGTATGACATCATGGGATGTCATCAAAAGCGCGCTTTTTGTTTATAGTCGGTGGCGCAGGATGTATCAAAATATCAGCAGTGGTTAAATCGTATGAAATGTCATTCCGATCATCGTAACCTTGTCCACAATCGCTGCGGCGTTGCCACATGCCGCCGACAAACGCTATCACCCGACTTGTCACATTAACTCAAGTGGCGAGTCCTTGAAACAAATTGTTTTATGTTCGTTATCCCGCAAGTGGCCATAAAGCACCCTTTTCTCCCCTTCGCAAACAAACCGTCCGCAATGAATTTATGATTCAGCGCTCGCATTAGGACCGATTTCCGCCTTATCTCCATTCAAGAAGTGCATTCGATCCGACCGGATGTTCTTTAATTCGTCCCCTCGGACTCGCACTTCCGCTGCATCATTGTTACCAAACGCCAAAACCAGATGTTCCTAAATATAAGTTTTCTATTTAAATGCCGGCGCAGATGCTTGACATTTAGGTAAACGCCGGCATTTTTCGCCCCGGTCCGCACTTGACCCGAATCGGCTCGGGACGCAGGGGTGATGACCCGACTACTGCATACTTTAATTCGCACCCGATCAGCGCCGCTCTCGCAACCGCCGGGAATTAACAATGGGACGATTATCGATGGAACGAAACGAGAAAAACGAAGGACCGTGAAAGGAGGAGCGAGCTATCGACCGATTTTACACAGAACGTGGTGTAATTCTGACCCTGAAATTGCACATGCGGACTTATTCATTCAGGTCGGAGACCCGCGGGATGAGCGCTGGGGGCGGGGACGGGTTATTTTCGGAGGAGTGAAAGGAGGCGCTTTTTTTTTTTATTCAATCTCGACGTAACCTACGGTAATGCAGAGGTTGCTCACCCTCGTGCATAATGCAATTATGCAACCAACAATACTTCGCGATCGTTCTAGAGTGGTTTTGGTGCAATGATTGGTAACGACTCCTAACGCGCCTGAGTTAGCATCCAGTGGGGATAGATTGTAGATCGACCTAAAAATAAAAAACCATTTGGTATCCCAGTTGGCTGCACTTCCGTCTGTGATAATTGTCAATTTTGACATTTATTATGACGATAGTTGTGGTAACACTGATTTAATTATACCTTACACATTTACGAACTATGTGTGGCATTTCGTCACCGCTTGCGGTTAACGGAAACGCCGTTTCTCTCCATTTCGAGCGACCGCTTAGCAACCGCGTTCCTTAAAATTCAAAAATCACCGAAGTCTCCCTCACCCTTAAAACGTGCGTCATCCCGTGAACACGCCCGTGCTCGAAGCGTGGACAGGAGATTATAACACCCCTAGTCGGTCCTACCATTATGTACCATCACACGTGTCCGGTCCCTGCCCCTTTAATTAGGAGCGGTGGTCCGTTGACCCCTACGTCACACTCCATGTCAATCCTCTTACCCAACATTCGTCATGGTCACTTGATCGAGTTCGGACCTTCAGTTTTTACAAGGGAAGATTCCGGTTGATGTAAGGTAAAGCTCATTTCCGGTTATGTGACAAGGGACGGGGCAATAACCGTTATATCCGGTCGGTATCTGGGAGAAGGAGCTGGATAATGTTGGGGATAATCACGTTATAAATCGACATGATTGATCAAATTCGAAGCGGGGGCGGCGCGCAACCGGTGCGAGAAAGACACTCCAAATGATGAATTCCAGACTAAACAAACGAAGGGGTAACAAGTGATCTTCGTTTTGGGTAGGGCGGCACGGTCGACCGGACTTGGGGGTGGGGGCGGCGGCGCCAGAAAAGGTTAAGAACGACTAGATTCACCAAGTTCGTCTGAAAATCGAGACCTGAATGGAGTTAAACGCTCACAGGTCTGTTAAGTATTGGGAAATTTGATGTCCCTAGGGCACCACGGGTTGCGCAAAAACTAGAGCGAGGGGCGGCACGAAACTGCCCCTACTTTATCAAGAAAGACTCCCTTTTGACAACGCCATAGCAACTCTTCCAAAAAATCCGGCAGTTCCGGGTATGCGCACCTCCGAGTATCCACGGTAACAAAATTCCGTAATTGAATTTTTCGTTACGTAACCGTAGTTTATAAATCCGCCCGACTAGAGTTTCTCCAACTCTCCCCCGAGCTCGATACAATCGTGCAACCCTTCCGGCGTAAAAACTTGCGCCAGCCAACCCCAACATATATCTCTGAGAGCAGCTCTAGGATTTTTCATCCCCCCACGTTCCGAGCGCGGCCGAAGCGGTCTCGTCCTTGTCCGAACAGGATTCGGGCGGCTGCGGAAAGGATCCCGGGCAGTGTGACGTCACACACGGAAGCATCTCAACCGCTCCGTCCATGCCGTTTTACCGGTTAATACTGCGATTCGAGTGTGCTGTGCCAGTTACACGGTAATTGCGTTTCGAACTTGTTACCTTACATGATCAGGAAGTGTGTTAGATGGGTCAGCAAGTAGGAGATGTTCAAAGGGTGGAAATTCGGAAAGGTAACTTGTTTTTTACAACGCGAGATGATTTAGGGGTTGGTGACCGTAATTGCGCCGTAAAGAGGAATGGAAAAAGATAATAAAGGACGACGGGGGCGGCGGAGGGGCGAAATTGAATGGAAATCCGAGGAATATGATCGCGGCACGGCCGCCGACAGGGACGGGATTGATCCGCGTTTAATAACGGGGGCAGGGGGCGGCGAGTCCTCGAGGAAGCGCTCGGAGGCTGACACGTGTGATAACGAGATTACTTATGTTGTTTGGGGGTGACGCAGCGGGACGGGGTAGTGGAAGACTGATGCGACTTGACATTTTTTTTTGACACGATTGTGGCAATTTTGACTTGTTGCGCTTAATAAAACAAAAAATCGATGGATTATCCCTTTTGTTTAATTCAGGTTGTCTGTAGCCGCGGTCGCGATTCACCACACAACCCCCATGAATCACCGTTAAAAAGCAGATGTCGACTTTATTAAATTACCAACCCCGATTAGAGTCAGCGATAAGTCACGCGGGTGGTGGTACCAGTAGCTTTTTTCCGTGCTTTTGCGTACCACGCTACGTTTAATTGCACCCTACCGAGCCACCCCTCATGTAAATAAAGGGCGTGAAAAACGTAACCTTCACCTAGATTCCCGCACTAATTGCGCATGAAAAAACGACCCCTATTGAAATTTAAATCGCTTTTTGAATTCGTTTTTGTTTACGATGCAAATTCAGAGTAGTCGATGTTTTGTTAAGTCATCTAATTCCGCGTGGTTGCTGGGACGACGGCTCGTGAATAATACACACAGGGGTGGATTTTTATTAATAAAATCCGGTTTTTTCAGGGTCTGGACCCCACAAACTCCACGCAACTGCGGCCGTTGAACCCGGAGATCACCGCTCCGAGGATCGACAGCTACAGGTTTTCCATGGCCAACCTCCAGGACTCGCAGGATGTGGACCTGGACGCCATCTTGGGCGAGCTGTGCGCGCTCGAGACCCAGTGCGAGAGGGAGATTGGGCACGCACGGGATAGCAAGCGGCTGTCGGGTAAGCGCGCTTCAGCAGCTACGCTGTCTCGTCTACAACCACTAGTTACAGACCAGAAGGTGTCGCACCACCTGTCGCGGACACACAGCCGGTCGTCGTCGGAAGGTCCACGACTCAAGTTGGACGAGAGTGATTTGATGTCAAAGACTGATTCGGTACGGACGGAATCGCCCGATAATGATTCCGCTTTCAGTGATACGGTGTCGATGTTGTCGAGCGAATCGTCGGCGAGCAGCGGCGGTTCGGGATCGAAACCCCAAAGCCTGCACCTGCAGAACCTCCAGGTACTACTAGCTTAACCTAGGAAAATCAACCGGTACTACTCTATTATTATTGTTTCGCAGGATGAAGCTTCGCGGGTCAAAGCCGAGAAGATCCGCATGGCCATGGAGAAAATCAAGGAGGCTAATATCCAGAAGTTGTTCGTGAAGGTGTTCACAGCGGATGGTTCCGCCAAGTCTTTGCTAGTAGACGAGAAGATGTTGAGTTCGTACGTGACGCGCTTGCTGATGGACAAGAACCATGTCGAGGTGGACCCTAAATGGGCTATCGTCGAACACCTGCCGGAGTTGTATATGGGTACGTGACGCGACGTGTCTGCAAAGAAAAGCTGACCTTTTTTTGCAGAGAGGACGTACGAAGACCACGAGCTCCTCGTCGACAACCTCATGCTGTGGACGCGCGACTCCAAGAACAAAATCTTCTTTTCGGAACGTCCGGAGAAGAACAAGCTGTTTCTGGAACCGGAGAAGTTTCTTCTTTCCATGACTGATAAAAAGGAGATGGATTATGATGAGCACTCGCGCAATATGCTCTTGGAGGAATTCTTCTCCAATAATTCGTCCAGTGTTCCGGAGGTGGAAGGCCCTCTGTACCTAAAAGCGGATTCTAAGAAAGGGTGGAAGAAGTACCACTTCGTGTTGCGGAAGTCGGGGTTGTACTATTACCCGAAGGACAAAGTGAAATCAGCCAAAGACTTAGTGTGTTTGGCCACTTTTGACAATAACCACATCTATTGTGGCTTGGGGTGGAAGAAAAAATATAAAGCACCGACGGACTACGGGTTTGCCATCAAACACCCTCGTTTACAAGAACCCAAGTCGACTAAATTCATCAAGTACTTGTGTGCGGAAGACCAGCAGAGCCTCGAACGGTGGATGGTGGGGATGCGCATAGCCAAATACGGGAAACAACTAGTGGATAACTACCGGGCTCTCATGGACGAGCTAGCCCAAGAAGATTTAGACATGTTAGCGCACGCCAGGAGCTGCTCGGTCTCTTCCATAGCGGTGCAGAGTACCGTGACCACCCCCACCCAGGGGTATCCAGGGAGCGAAGCCGGTTATGGTACTCAAAGCGACACCTACTCAGCCCCCAGTGAAGCCAGTTCGGGTCGCCACAGCAGGGCCAGCAGCTCCAGTTCTTCTGGGTGCATGTCCGACGGTGCCCCCTCCAGTTGCGAGAACGCCTTCGACTCCGAGTTCCCCATGGGTACCATCAAGAGGAAGCCCTCCATGAAGCCCAGTCTCCCGCTCACTAACATCACGCGCCAACTCAAAGAGGTGGGAGAAACCCGCGACGAGATCGATAGCGGCCCGCTGCCCACCAGCCCGATCAATTGCACCAACTCCGGGACGCTCACCCGGAGACACAGCCGGCGGAAATCCGGGAATTCCACTGACGATTCGTCCAATTCCGGCACTCTTAAAAGACAGCACTCGTACAAGGCGAGAGGGTCGCTGGAGTCGATGGGGGGAAGGAGCGGGAGTTCGACTCCGCTGTGCGGCACTCCCGTGAGGGAGAGGGCGTCTCCGTTCAACGACAAGAGCAGTCCGTTCGGGGAGAGGCCTCCCAGTGCGGGAGGAGTGCGCACTCCCACCAGCCCCACCAATATGGAGATGCCGTCGTGTATGGTGAGTAGAGCGCCGATTGAGATAGGTGCAGTACTAACCCCTCTTCAGAAGGATGCTCAATCCAATAACTTCCAACGAGCCAGGAGCGTTCTACAAAAGCAGTTCGCGATGCGTCCTCCCACTTTTACTAAACCTCTGGCTTAATTTCGTTCTGGTATTTTTCTTTTTATTTTAATTTTTGTTGCTTTGTTATTTTTGCTTGTGTTCGCATTGCCAAACTATTTCCGGCGGAAATGGCACGAATTTCAAATGAGGGAACTTCCGTCTTGGCTAATTTTATGTCGTGACTCGAAACGAGCTAATTTCGTATCAACAGATACGCAGGAAATTTTTCGGCTACATAAATCAAGTCTAATTTTCGGACGCGGATTTGCATTTCCACGGACGTTATCGACGAGAAAATCAAGCGAGCTTTGTATAGCTTATCGGGTTTCCACTTCAAGAAATTGCAGCAGAATGGACAATTTGCATTTTTCCATTACCACTAGATTTGCATCGTATAACGTATGCGAATTTCGACGTTCTCACGACATCGGCGGCAGCCAGACCGTAAATATTTAGCACAGAAACCATACTTGGTGCTGCCGTGTACATGCCATTGTTATCATTAATAACTGTCCTGCGGCCCCTCTCACTCTATTATTCTCTCTTTCTCGCACGATGTTTAAGTTAAGTGGAGCTTCTCTATTGACGCTGCGAAGATCGTGGGAGTGAAAAGAGTGATCGCGAACAGAAGAACGAAATCTGAGAACACTAGATAAACTGGAAAAAGAAATATAATTTCATGGAACCTCGAGCTTGTTTTGAATATTTCAAAAAAAAAAAAAAATAATCATTATAACTCCACCAAAATGTGAGAAGGAATTGTTTACTATATTTCCCAGCATTAAGAGCGTAGCGAGAGTTAATTCGCTATTTTCCAGACACCCGGTATATGATCCTCTTAAAATAAATAATTAATTCAACTCGAGATTTCCCTCTAACAATTTCAAATTATAAAATGTTGTCTTAAATGAACTCTTATTATAGACATTTTGAGGAATAAAGGCCAAATGCAGATAAAGGTGCCTAATTAAAAATGTGGTCAAGAGGGCTATTGTTTTTATTTCCGACTTTCTACTTTTACGTTTTCTCGACCTTTCATGACCCCTAGAGGACGAAGAAATAGGTCTCCCATTTCCGTCTGTCTGTCTGCCGTCCCGAAATATCATGTAGATGGTAAAACGCTAACCAAAATTTGTCTAATCATCCCCACCAATAATATGATGACGTCACTTCAAAATTGTACATAGTAAATGGAATTTAAATTGTATAAAATAACATAATCCTGCACATGCAGTTTATGACTCCGAGTTGAGTTTTTACCCGAAACGTCCAGATTTTTGAAAAAAAAAATCTGAAACAACATTTTGTAATTCAATTTGGAATCTGCAAAACCGAATGTTCTGAAATCTTGCAGATGGCTTACAGTTATGACAAGCATAACAAAATTTTAATCAAAATATATTTACTTGTCCCCTCCAAAAAATTGATGACGTCATTTTCTTATTTCTTCGATTTTATGGTATACATCTCTTCGAGTTTCCATATGTTTAAATTTTCAGTTTTACGACTTTTCACCTTTTAGATTTTGCAATTTTTCGTTTCTGGTTTTTATTTTCTTAATTCTTTCAGTTTCTGGTTCTTCAATGTTCTGATTTTCTAATTTTTCTTTTTTTCAATGCGACAATTTTCAATTTTCGGATTTTTTCGTTTTATTCAATTTTAGATTTTTTAATTTTTCGTTTCTTCAGTTTTCGACCTTCATTTTAAATATGTATCTAATAATAATTATAATTAAAAAAATCACTTTTACAGCTTCACGATTTCACAATTCTTCCATTTCTCAGTTACTGGATTTTTAAACTCTTTCATTAATTCGATTTTTCTATTTAATTCGTTTTCATTTTTTCCAATTTTCGATTCATTGATTTTTTTTTATTTTTAAGTTTCCCAATTTTTTTTTTCGATTTGCTTTTTCGAGTTTGCAATTTTTCGTTTTTTTTAGCTTTTCGATTTTTCAATTTTTTTTGATGTTCAACTTTCTGAATCAAAAAACGGAAAACTTGCAAATTTTAAAACTGAAAAATCAAAATGACAATCTAAAAAGTATAAAAAACTAAAAAATTTGAAATCAAGAAAATGAAAAATCGAAAGATTAAAAATTGAGAGTTCCAAATCAAAATACTGCAAAATCGAAAAAACGGAATATTTTAACATCTAATCATTGAAAATTAAAGAATTTGGAATATACGATAATTGAGAAAACCAGAAATTGCAAAATTAAACAATTTAAAAATTGGAAAGTCGAGGAAGAGAAAAATCAAAGATTGAAAATTTTGAACTGAGAAAATTGGAAAACCGAAAGAAACATTACAAAAATAAAGGAAATGAAAAAACGAAAAATTGTGTTAGAAAATCGAGAAAATGGAGATAAAAATCGGGAATATGAAAAATAAACAACAAGAATTTGAAAAACTGAAGAAATGAAAAATTGAAAAATAAAAAATCAAAAATTGGGAAAATAAAACATGAGAAATTCTAATCTCGAGAAATTGAAAAAGTTTGAACTTGAGAAATGTTAAATTGAAGAAACGAATAACTGAAAAATCGATTAAAAACTGAGAGACTGAAAAATCGAAAAAACGAAATATTTTAACATCTAAACATTGAAAATTAAAGAAATTGGAATAAACGATAATTGAGGAAACCAAAAATTTAAAAATTGGAAAGTCGAGGAATAGAAAAATCAGAGATTGAAAATTTTGAACTGAAGAAACGAAAAATTAGAAAACCGAAAGAAACATTGAAAAAATAAAGGAAATGAAAAAATTAAAAATTGCGATAGAAAATCGAGAAAATGGAGAAAAAAATCGGGAATATGAAAAATAAACAACAAGAATTTGAAAAACTGAAGAAATGAAAAATGAGAAATTCTAATATCAAAAAATTGAAAAAGTTCGAACTCGAGAAATGGAAAAATTGAAGAAACGAATAACTGAAAAATCGACTAAAAACTGAAAGACTTAAAAATCGACAAAACGAAATATTCAAAAATCGAAATACAGAAATTAAAGAAATCGGAAAATCTGAAAATCGAGAAATCCAAAAATTGCAAAATTGAAAAATTTAAAAATTGAAAATTCGAGGAATTGAAAAAAATTTGGGAATATGAAAAATAAAAAATCAAAAATTGGGAAAATAAAAAATGAGAAATTCTAATCTCGAAAAATTGAAAAAGTTTGAACTTGAGAAATGTAAAAATTGAAGAAACGAATAACTGAAAAATCGATTAAAAACTGAGAGACTGAAAAATCGAAAAAATGTAAAATCGAAAAACGAAATATTTTAACATCTAAACATTGAAAATTAAAGAATTTGGAATATACGATAATTGAGAAAACCAGAAATTGCAAAATTAAACAATTTAAAAATTGGAAAGTCGAGGAAGAGAAAAATCAAAGATTGAAAATTTTGAACTGACAAAATTGGAAAACCGAAAGAAACATTACAAAAATAAAGGAAATGAAAAAACGAAAAATTGTGTTAGAAAATCGAGAAAGTGGAGATAAAAATCGGCAATATGAAAAATAAACAACAACAATTTGAAAAACTGAAGAAATGAAAAATTGAAAAATAAAAAATCAAAAATTGGGAAAATAAAACATGAGAAATTCTAATCTCGAAAAATTGAAAAAGTTTGAACTTGAGAAATGTAAAAATTGAAGAAACGAATAACTGAAAAATCGATTAAAAACTGAGAGACTGAAAAATCGAAAAAACGAAATATTTTAACATCTAAACATTGAAAATTAAAGAAATTGGAATATGAGAAAACCAAAAATTTAAAAATTGGAAAGTCGAAGAATAGAAAAATCAGAGATTGAAAATTTTGAACTGAAGAAACGAAAAATTAGAAAACCGAAAGAAACATTGAAAAAATAAAGGAAATGAAAAAATTAAAAATTGCGATAGAAAATCGAGAAAATGCAGATAAAAATCGGGAATATGAAAAATAAATAACAAGAATTTGAAAAACTGAAGAAATGAAAAGTAGAAATTCTAATATCAAAAAATTGAAAAAATTGGAACTCGAGAAATGGAAAAATTGAAGAAACGAATAACTGAAAAATCGACTAAAAACTGAGAGACTTAAAAATCGACAAAACAAAATATTCAAAAATCGAAATACAGAAATGAAAGAAATCGGAAAATCTGAAAATCGAGAAATCCAAAAATTGCAAAATTGAAAAATTTAAAAATTGAAAATTCGAGGAATTGAAAAAAATTTGGGAATATGAGAAATAAACAACAAGAATTTGAAAAACTGAAGAAAAGAAAAATTGAAAAATAAAAGTCAAAAATTGGGAAAATAAAAAATGAGAAATTCTAATCTCGAAAAATTGAAAAAGTTTGAACTTGAGAAATGTAAAAATTGAAGAAACGAATAACTGAAAAATCGATTAAAAACTGAGAGACTGAAAAATCGAAAAAATGTAAAATCGAAAAAACGAAATATTTTAACATCTAAACATTGAAAATTAAATAAATTGGAATAAACGATAATTGAGAAAACCAAAAATTAAAAAATTTAAAAATCGGAAAGTCGAAGAATATAAAAATCAGAGATTGAAAATTTTGAACTGAAGAAACGAAAAATTAGAAAACCGAAAGAAACATTAAAAAAATAAAGGAAATGAAAAAGTTAAAAATTGCGATAGAAAATCGAGAAAATGGAGAAACAAATCGGGAATATGAAAAATAAACAACAAGAATTTGAAAAACTGAAGAAATGAAAAATGAGAAATTCTAATATCAAAAAATTTAGAAAGTTCGAACTCGAGAAATGGAAAAATTGAAGAAACGAATAACTGAAAAATCGACTAAAAACTGAAAGACTTAAAAATCGACAAAACAAAATATTCAAAAATCGAAATACAGAAATTAAAGAAATCGGAAAATTGAAAATTCTACTAAATACTTGTGATTTATCATCCCATTCATATTTTTTGGATTCGCATATACAGGTGACTCAAAAAAATTAATTAATGAATGAATTTATTTTATTGATGTAATCAGGAGCTACAAAACCGAATGCTTTGAAATTTTGGAGATGTTTTAAAATTATCATAAGCATGATAAATTTTTGATCAAAATGTATTTGCTCATCCCCCCTAAAAAATTGATGACGTCACATCAAAATATTCCTGAATACACCTTATCTTAAATGTGCAAAATATGACGAATCTATACCAGTGATTTATTTTTAATATATAATTAATATTTTTTGAATTTGCTTATACAGGGTGTCTCAGAAAAATTAATGACTGAGTTGTTAAAAAATAAATATCCAGTCATATTTAGGAATTTAACTCTTTACAATGGAAATGTGCAGTTTAACACCTTTTAAATTTTTACAAGATTAATAGAGGCAAAATCAGTCTTACCTTAGCAAGTGCTAAAAGTTATTAATTCACAATTGTCGACGTAACAAGCGGCTGACAGCTGTCAAAATTCGTTTTGGAAATGACATATGGTAAAAAACAAAATCACGGCATTCTTGACCAGGTTGTCCCAATTCATAAAATTGTTTTTGATTTACAACAACGATTTACCTGATTTTATTCCGTATCTAAGTTTAGAAGCTTTGAGAATCAGTCACGTCACGGCACAAATTATCAATATTAATAAGCTTCATTATTTTTTGTTTTCTTTTATACCCTCGCTGTGTAAAATCCTCCAGTATTTCTAACACAAATAACATTAATCTTCAGACGCTAGCGTGCTTTTGTGCTTTTAGTGTGCCACTTTTGGAATTCCATCTTTTGACCCCCTCTTTGTTTCAGACCGACTCCATCACCTCGCTGCCGCCGCCGCCCGAGCCCAACGGTGACGTCATCACCGAGTCGCCCTCCTACCAACTCCCGCCGCCTCCCCCCGAAGTGTACAACTCCAACCTCTCCCTCGACAGCCTCCCGCCCCCGCCTAACCCCAGCGAGCTGCCCCCCATGACCGGCACCGAGCTCACCGGCAGCCAGCTGTCCCTCATGTCCCTGCCGCCGCCGCCCGGCGAGGTCGACGCCGGCACCGTCCGCAAGCGCAAAGAGAGTGTCACCCCCACGAACGTCCTCAGCCCCGACCGCACCCCCACCATGTCGCCCGACCAGACCCCCACCCAGTCCCGCATCACCACCCCTTGCTTCAGCCCGCCGCTGTCCGCCGTGGGCAGCAACTGCAGCACCCCGACCCAGCAGAACCCGCCTGTGAGTTTCCACCTCAACGAGCCCGCCAACGGCTACCTGGTGCACCCCAACCCGCCCGGTTACCGGCCCACCAGCACGCTGCCCGGGTTCAACAACGTGGGGGCGCTGCGGTCGAGTCTGCGGCAGGCGTCGCTGCCGAGGCAGATCTCGTCGAGCAGCATCGCCTCGAGCGGGAGCTCCGGCAGCTCGGGCAACTACGTGGCGTACGCGCAGGGGTCGCCGCACTTGCAGCGCAAAGTCAACTTCCAGGACCCGGCCAGTCCGAAGAAGACCGCCAAGAAGATCAGTTTCAACTTGGTGCCGCAGGAGGTGCCGCCGCTGCCGAAGAAGCCGCCGCCGCCGAAGCGCGCCGAGAGCACGAAACTATCGAGTCCGAAGAAGCTGGTGGAGCCGCCCGTGGACTTCTTGAAGGACTTGCAGAGGGTGATGCGGAAGAAGTGGCAGGTGGCGCAGAAGTGCAAATTGGAGCCGACGACGACTCCGCACGAGGTGCTGGGGTTCAGGGACCCACCGATCGCGCTGCCGGATTACAAGGAGCACAATGTGTCGAATTGGGTCCAGGAGCACTACGGGCCTAATAATGTTTACGAGAACGTGTACAGGGACAGTCCGGACGCGGTGGTGGAGTATGCGACGAGTCCTGTTCACGTGAGGAGCGACTACAGGAAGCGGCCGCCGCCGCCGCCCCCAAAGCGCAGCGAGACGACGCATCTGAGCACCCCCAAGATGCACTGATGCTGCGTTTCATAATATGGCTTGGAAAAATAAAGGCATATCATATATGGCTTGCGCTCATTTTCGTTCCGGGGAGTATTGTATGCTGCTTATTTTTCAAGTGATATATGGTTATACTGCCAGCAATCCCTGCCTAATGGCTATGTGATTTAAATTTTAATGTGCCATGTGAGTTAAGACACTGTTAGTTAAGTTCTGGTTTTGTAAATATTCGCTCTTAGTGAATTGAAATGTCAAAACATTTATGGTGCTTATAGTTATAAAATTTTAGTACTAGACTAGCGGAAATTGTGTTTTATAAAGTTTATAACCATTTTTTACCCAAATTATTTAACGATTTTTATAACAAGTTACAGGGTTCAAGTCAGTTATTTATTTTTCTGTTTTTTTTTTTTTTATATATTTGTTCAAGGTATGTATTTTTATTTCGTGTATATAGTTTTTTGAATGTTCCCGCTCGGCGCTGCCGCGGCCCGTAATTTATAATCATAAGTGTACTTTGTATTAAGACCCTTTTATAATCGTATACAAGATCTCCACAATGCCATTGTCCCATACATTTTTGTATGTTTTATACCAACTTAATACTTCTAGCGGTTTAGAAAGAACGGATAGGTACTTGTAGTTAATGTAGTCAATGCAAAAACGAACTATTTCAAACTAAAGGATCGATATATTTATAAAAACTTAGGAAATTATCGATTTTGTTAAAAATTTCGTGTGCAATTTTTAAATTATGAAGTTTATAGAAATTATATAAATTTGTCTTGGCACAAGAATTTATGAGGCGTTGTAGGCTAAATCAAATTGATAATATATATTTTAAGTATTCAAATTGGTAAATATTTTTTCTGGATACTTATCGACCTTCAAATTGAGTACTTTGTATACAGTCTACCATTTCTATATACTAGTTGTTATCATAATAAGTATTACGGTAAATAAATATATTTAAAGAAGACCATTGTTTTTATTGCGCCGGCTTTACAGGAAACCGTGCTTGTGCAATTATTAAGAGAACTGCTGCACATTGTGCAAATAATGCGGTCGCTGCTGTACACACTCGTGCTGCGTCGTGTTTTCGCTATCGATGGATAGGAGGCGCTTTATTAGTTACAGTTGCGACGAGAGGTGGCGCCACGGTGCACGAACATAGCGGGCTGCCTATTCACAACTTTTAAAAATAATTCCCTAAAGACACGAGTGATAAAAACTCTTTCTTTCGATAACGTAACTGTTAAAATTTTGGTTTTCTGTCTCAACAAACCATCTATTGTTTGAAAGACGTGTTAAACGAGGCTGTTCGCCAATATTGTTATTATGTTATCATTAGTTGGCGACACTTGCCGCTTTCTCCATCTCTTGGAAACAATCCCGAAGACAAGTTGGCCTTTGCTCCATTGTTACGCATCCCCAAACTAACGTCGATCAAAGTGTTTTGTAGTTTGTAAGTTTATTGAGTTTGAACAGTCTTTACAAGATCTCGATTGCCTCGGGACGAAACAAAGAAGAATTTTAAGGACGGAAAGTGTGTTTGCATTGTTAAGGCGTCGAAAGAGATTTTTTGCAAAGAAAGGAAAGAATAACGACGGAGTTGATTTTAGCATGTCCGATGGTCCGGAGTGACGTAGTGGGGTCGTGATGGCCGCCATTAATAAGGAAACAAAGGTCAGCGGCGGGTATTTGTCAAAAGACGGTGGCGGAATTTTCGCCACGACTTGCAAATTAGTTCGATTTCGCTGGTATATTTTTTTCTGGGATAAATCACTCCGGCCGCAATAATCAATCAGCCGTGATGGTGGCATTGAATAAAATATAGATCAGTGGTGTCGAAGCACCAAGAAAGGGAGCGGCGTACACTGAATCGGAGTTTGTAACAATGGTGCAGTTGGGGTCCGACCTAGAAACAAGAGATGTTGCTTGAGTTCTCAGGGTGTCAGGCCGGCGCATCCATCATCATCAACAATGCAGCGTTGCACCCTCCCGAGAATAAAAGGAATTCGGCAATTTACGGGCAGGGAATTTATCGATCGGTAATTTCCTCAGAATATGTCTTTACAACTCGACTATAATAAAATAGATAATTTCGCTGTTTATGCGACTTGGGAAGTTCGGGCGTAATTTTTAAGGGACGTCAACGGCGGTAGTTGGGATGCCACCGAATGACATCTGTTCGGCGAAAGTGGATTTTAAATTGAATTAGAGCAACAATAAACGGCAAGTTTTCGGTTATTTAAGAGAATTCGAGATGATAAAATATTTTTTGTCACGCGACCGCCGACAAAGGCGCTGTTTACACGAGAAAGCATGCAAATATTTGGCGGCGGTTTCTACTTTTACGTAGACGAACAGCCCCGTAGCTAGAAAACTTATTCAGGGGGGGCAAGTTTGTCGACAGAGGGGGCTTCATGTAAATATTTATATTTTAATAATACACTCAGATAACTACTTTATTTTTTCTGAGTTTTTATATTTGAAAGAACATTAAAATAATTGGAAACGTCGATTTTTTACGCTAAATTTTCGTAAAAACCTGTCGAAGTCCAAAAAATTAGTACGGTACTTGGTTAAAATGCTGGTTAAAACAGAGAATGTAGATTCACAAACAGCTGTACTGCATCCAAAAATTTGTGTAGTGACCATATAGGTAACATCCAATTTGTTTGAGTTTATTTTTTTGCATGTTTAGTACATATTTTAAAAATCCGACTTCGAAACCAAATATTTCGAAAATTTTGGTACGGAACCATGAACTCGTCATGTTTTTTTAAACTCGTCGAGATGTGTATTTCAGAATTTTTTGTCAACTTTAACAAAAGCTCAATTTTTGGAAACCCATATAAAATTTTTGACTTTTCCCAAGCATTTTCGAAAATTACCAAAAGAATTCCTTTGTTCATCTCGATTTCTTCCAAAAATCGTTTTGGATTCAATTTTTTTGAAAATTCTTACATTTTTTGCAGAATCGACGGAAGAAAAATGGCAATTTTTGAGAACCTGTATCAAATTTTTGACTTTTTTCAAGCACATTCGAATTTACCAAAAGGGATTCCTTTATTGATTTCGATCTCCAGATGTTGTTTTTGGTTGTTTTTTCGAAAATGCGTACAATTTTTCCACAATCGCCAAAAGAAATATGGTAATTTTTGAGAAATTTTGAAAATTCGAGCTCGAAACCGAGTATTTCGAAAATTTTGATCCGGAACCATGAACCTGTCATGTTTTTTTAAGCTCGTCCAAATCTATATTTCAGAATTTTTTGTCAACTTTTACGAAAGTTCAATTTTTGAAAACCCATATAAAATTTTTGACTTTTCCCAAGCATTTTTAAAAATTATCAAAAGAGACTCCTTTGTTCATCTCGATTTCCAAAAATCGTTTTGGATTCAATTTTTTTGAAAATTCTTACAATTTTTCCAGAATCGACGGAAGAAATATGGCAATTTTTGAGAACCTGTGTCAAATTTTTGACTTTTTTTCAGCACGTTCGAGATTACCAAAAGGGATTCCTTTATTGATTTCGATCTCCAGATGTTGTTTTTGGTTGTTTTTTCGAAAATGCGTACAATTTTTCCACAATCGCCAAAAGAAATATGGTAATTTTTGAGAAATTTTGAAAATTCGAGCTCGAAACCGAGTATTTCGAAAATTTTGATCCGGAACCATGAACCTGTCATGTTTTTTTAAGCTCGTCCAAATCTATATTTCAGAATTTTTTGTCAACTTTTACGAAAGTTCAATTTTTGAAAACCCATATAAAATTTTTGACTTTTCCCAAGCATTTTCGAAAATTACCAAAGAGATTCCTTTGTTCATCTCGATTTCCAAAAATCGTTTTGGACTCAATTTTTTTGAAAATTCTTACAATTTTTCCAGAATCGACGGAAGAAATATGGCAATTTTTGAAAACCTGTATCAAATTTTTGACTTTTTTCAAGCACGTTCGAGATTACCAAAAGGGATTCCTTTATTGATTTCGATCTCCAGATGTTGTTTTTGGTTGTTTTTTCGAAAATGCGTACAATTTTTCCACAATCGCCAAAAGAAATACGGTAATTTTTGAGAAATTTTGAAAATTCGAGCTCGAAACCGAGTATTTCGAAAATTTTGATCCGGAACCATGAACCTGTCATGTTTTTTTAAGCTCGTCCAAATCTATATTTCAGAATTTTTTGTCAACTTTTACGAAAGTTCAATTTTTGAAAACCCATATAAAATTTTTGACTTTTCCCAAGCATTTTCAAAAATTATCAAAAGAGATTCCTTTGTTCATCTCGATTTCCAAAAATCGTTTTGGATTCAATTTTTTTGAAAATTCTTACAATTTTTCCAGAATCGACGGAAGAAATATGGCAATTTTGAAAACCTGTATCAAATTTTTGACTTTTTTCAAGCACGTTCGAGATTACCAAAAGGGATTCCTTTATTGATTTCGATCTCCAGATGTTGTTTTTGGTTTTATTTGGTTGAAAAGTCGTAAAATTTTTCAGCAATCGCCAAACGAAATGTAATTTTTGAACTTTGAAACCGAATGTTTCGAAAATCTTGATCTGGGACCATCTAGACCTTGTGTTTTTTGATTGAGCTCGTCGAGATCAACATTTCAGATTTTTTTGTGGATTTTTAGTCAACTTCAACAAAAGCTAAATTTTTGAAAATCTATAAAATGTTTATGACTTTTCCCAACCGTTTTCGAAAATTAGCAAAAGGAATCTCTTTATCGATTTCGATCTCCAAATGTTGTTTTTGGTTTTATTTTCTCGAAAATTTGTACAATTTTTCCAAAGCCGCCAAAAGAAATGTAATTTTTGAGAAATTTTGAAATGTCGACTTTGAAACCGAATTTTTCGAAAATCTTGGTCTGGGACCATCAAGACCTTATGTTTTTGGATTAAGCTCATCGAGATCTACATCTCGGAATTTTTTGTTGATTTTTTGTTAATTTCAACAAAAGCTCAATTTTTGAAAATCCATATACATTTTTTGACTTTTCCCAAGCATCTTCGAAAATTAGCAAAAGGGATCTCTTTATTGATTTCGATCTACAGATGTTATTTTTGGTTTTATTTTTTTGATATTTCGTCGAATTTTTCCACAATCGCATAAAGAAATAACTTTTTTTTAAGTCACTTTTGAGATTTTTTAGAAATTTTAGGTAGAACCCAATATTTCGTAAATTTTGCTCCGGGAGCATGAACATGTTTTTCGATTAAGCGCATCGAGATCTATATTTCAGAATTTTTTGTCAACTCTAACAAAAGCTCAATTTTTGAAAACTAAATAAATTTTGACTTTTCTTAGCATTTCCAAAAATTACCGAAAGTCATTCTTTTATTTATTTCAATCTTCAGATGTTGTTTTTGGTTTTATTTGATCGAAAATTTGTAAAATTTTTCTAGAATCGTCAAAAGAAATAGGAGTATAATTTTTGAGAAAATTTAAAAATTCGACTTGGAAACCGAATAGCAGCAAGACCTTATGTTTTTTGACTAAACTCGTCGAGATCTACATCTCAGAATTTTTTGTAGATTTTCAGCCAATTTCAACAAAAGCTCAATTTTTGAAAATCTATAAAAAAAAATTTGACTTTTCACACGCATTTTCGAAAACTAGCAGAAGGGATCTTTTTATTGATTTCGATCTCCAAATGTTTTTTTTTTGGTTTTATTTTTTCGAAAATTCGTACAATTTTTCCAGAGCCGCCAAAAGAAATGTAATTTTTCAGAAATTTTGAAATGTCGACTTTGGAACCGAATTTTTGAAAAATCTTGGTCTGGGACCATCAAGACCTTATGTTTTTTGATTAAGCTCATCGAGATCTACATCTCAGATTTTTTTGTCTATTTTTTGTCCATTTCAATAAAAGCTCAATTTTTAGAAAATCCATATAATATTTTTGACTTTTCTCAAGTACCTACATAGTAGGCTATGGAATAAAATGTGGCATGTTCATTTTTTTAT